TCTCCAGTGGCTCTCCTTGAACTGTAAGGGATATGTTCGCAGATGGCACGTTCTGAAGCAGGACTTTGCACTTTGAAGGTGCAAGGCGTATGCCAAAAGATGGTATGATGGCGGTCAGTTTATTCAACAGGGCTTGTGCTTCGCTATGGTCTTCAAAGATGAGGGCGATGTCATTTGCGTACTCCAGGTCGACAAGGCTCTCGCCAGCAACAAAACGAATGCTGGTTACACAACATCTTCCTAAAGCTTGACCGAATGCGAAACCCCTCCGATTTTACAGTATGCCAGTTGCTGACCGCAGAGTGGGACTATTTGCTGTTCTCAAACCACGCAAATGCGCACAGCAGAAAGACCTGCCAAACAGCAATTCTTGGCAAAAACAGTGAAATTTTATGGTCTGAAGGAGGTAATCCTACATACTACCGGCACAGCTCAGTGAAAAAGCAGCTAATCTGTCATTCAGTCACACTATGCAACGGGCATTCAATACAGTCTCACAGAAACTCCAGGTCGTGTTTCACCTATGAGCTGAATTGCCTTATGTTGTACCCCTCCCGTTCCCAACGCTCATACAAAAGCTGGGACAAAATGGATCAAGAGGAGAGACAGAAAAACCCATCTATTGAAGCCTACACTAAGAGGATAAGGTTGTTCGTTTTTGACACAGCACTGGAAAATTCATAACCCTGTTACTGATGGACTGGAGCCGCATACTGATGATATCTCCAAGTATGAAAGCTACTTTCCAATTTCCGTGAACAGATCAACGGCCACGTGGACAAAAACCAAGAAACTAGAAAAAGTAAGGAGCATTTTTTAAAATCAGCTGGCAACGGGGCTAAAAATTCACTCAGCTGCCGCATTATGCTGCCTATTAACACAGCACAAACCATAATCGGTCTTAACGGTAACCCCATGACAGTCACGCAGCTACTGTTGAACAAGGTGCAGTTATCTAGTCAACAAAACGCTTTTCTGTCCAAAGGAACACGGATCATCAGGCGAACGCAGTTTCCAGGGACCTGCTTCAAACTTTCAACCCGCTGATATCAGCTCATGCAATTAATTCTTATCTTGAGGTGATTTCAATCTTAATGCTGTCTTCAAAATGTGATTTGTCATGCTTGTTGTAAATTGAGTTTACTTAAGGCACCACGGGGGTCGAATGGCGATAGCGATTCAGACCTCCCTTTCGTAAGGATCCGAAAAAAAGACCTTATATGTCCAGTCCGCCGTATATTGCTACCTTATGGTGGATATTAATAGCAGCTAAGATGTATTTTCGCTAACTTCTCAGTCGAGTAACGTAGGGAGTTTACCACTAAGTGGTGAAGAAACACTTGTTTGATACTCCGAACGTGGCAAATATGAATCTCGGGAGTGACAAACGATTTAGAGAATTTCCCAGCTTGAAGGCTGATTGCACAGCATCACTATCAGCATTGACAGCAACACCACACTTATTTGAAAAACGCTGTGTACAAAGTAGGAGATGGGAGGGCATTATATCTGGCTCAGTCGTCAATCTATTATATCTGACTGCTGTGCCGCTCCAGTGTCCAGTGCCGAAAAAAGACTTGCCGAGAAGGAACACAACAGCTTTATTCCGGACAAGCAAGTGCGAGAGCGTGAGTGCAAAAATAAAACGACCTCGAGCTATTTTGTTGGAGGAACCCCCTATGACCTTGGTCCAACACTGTCTAGCGCTGTCTGGCTTTGATACAAGGCTGTGACACACTGCATATTGAGGGGGCGTTTTCTGAGGAGTGAAGTTGAGGATCTCAGTAGGTTTCTGGCATTATGGCTACTTTCAGGAATCTGACCTTCCTGATATTCCCTCTTTTGGCCGTTCAACGTAAGATTGTCGACGCAGATCAATTTGTAAAGGTTCCACCAGTTTTTTAGCGCGACAGGTACGACATCTTGGTCGAAGCAACTGATATTGCTTGGGCAGTACATGTGAAGAGGTGGCTATAGGTGCTGGCCTTCGGAGATCAAAAGTTTCAAACAGCAGGTTGAGGTCTAGTAACTGTTTTTCCGCCTTTGGGATCGGACGCTCAGTAGGCCGTAGCTGATTGACATGTCGTTTCAATGGCAATGATTCCACCTGGACGCTGTAAATCACCTGAACGATTCTTATGAGGACGACTCCAACAGTCCGTCTTCGGTGCCGGGGCAACAGACCCCCGCAATCACACGGTTCCCAAACATGAACGTTGGTTTCACTCTTGCCAGTTATTGAAAACACATAAGTGTTGGCAGGATGGCGTCATGGGTAAGTTTCAACCGTCTATTCATCATAACCTCTGCTAAAGAGCGACCGTTCCTAGACTGGATCAGGAGTTGCTTTGTAATTCTGTAATTCCTGATAGAGGGACATATGCTAGTCAACCAGAAGCGTACGAGGTGTCTACTCTCAAACACTCGGATAGAAAATGGCTACGCCCACGGCCACATGTTGTAGCATGCACGAACAAGCATAACAAGGGTCATGTGAACCCAAATCTGGAAAGCGAGCCTGGAATTTTCGTCGCTTCTATCATTTCCTTCAGCCGTATCGCATACTGCTCATGCTACGTCACTCTGAATCCAGAATTAGGTCTACGTAATCACCCCTATGATTGGTTGGGAACACTGCATGATATCGCTGCTTATCAATGTCACTGGCTACCTTGTCGTCAGTCCCAATTCGGGATGTCTGGCTGAGTAACAGGGATTGTTTGTGCTTGGCTAGTACTGCGCCTCTATCGTATACTTTTTGCTTTTTTCCACAACATATTGTGGTTACAAAGCACCAAACAAACAGTTTCCCAAACCGATGTGCTGACGACCGTGGTGCATGAGTCAACACCGCTGGAGAGCAATAAGTTCCATCGAGGTGGGTGTGAAAAGAGTGTTGAAGTGCAATAACTGCAGAGGGAACACTACTGAATAGGAAACAAAGTGATAAACATAAACAGAACGCCCTGATACAGTGTATGGGTAGTGAACAAGTGCAACCTACCTTCATTACACACAGACGACAGCAGGTCCACTAACCGGAACTCCATGGCATTCTAGCATAGGGAGAAAAACAGGGAAGATATCATGTCGATTGGTAGGTTACAATCAGATCATTAACCACTCGAATTTACATACGGATCCGGAAAAGGATTAAATCGCACAGCGTCGTGCATCGCCCGCTTCATTCGGCCGGTGTGACCTGACCTGATCTAGCTGATACCGAAGTAGTGGGAGGTCAGTCTATCCAGATGAGGAAGCAACTTAGCATGAAAGCGAGAAGTGGTCAAGAACAAGCCCACTGAAAACTTATGATCAAAAGGAACTACGCACCGCAATCCAGTATCGTCAATTTCCAACAACTCGTGCATTCCGTCTTAGCAATCATTATCATCGACGGCATAACATCAGTCTTGAATACTAATGCTTCGACGCAGTACAACCATGACATATGTGAAAGCCTTAATGTTAAGAAAAATAAAAATGGGCGAAAAAGCGACCTAGCAATAACCTGTCATAATCGTCCCAAGCTACCTAAACCTCCAGACACTAAGTCAGGCGATCCAGAGAGAAACTGATAAAAGGAAATCCCCGTTGCATAACCAAACTCTAGCTTCCTAATCGCCTTGTTCCTAATTCGCCGACACGAAACTACACGCACTGTGGTTCTGAAACAACGGCTGACGAACACCTGAAGACGTCCCAGTTCCGTTGCTCGAACCGGCTAGTTCTCACAGACACACAACAAAACATCCCGTCCTGTAGCCTGGGACACACGTCCCTTGAGATTCCGGGATATGCCGCTTTGACACCGCAGGTGTCTCAAATTAGCAACCACGACCCGAGCCTTACAGATTCATGCACCGACCTTATTTGTCACACCACAATCGGAACTGCAACAACATACAAGATACGTAAAATGCTCCCTAACTTCGAGGGCCCCTCTCTGAATTGTAAGTGGCATGCCCAGCGACTGTGTCCATAAGCATGACCTTACAATTTGTAGGTGCAAAGTGCCTCCCAAAGCACGGGATGACTTTGGTCAGTTCATACAAAAACATTTGCGCCTTCTCCTCCTCTTCCAAGACGACAATGATGTCGTCTGCATTGACCAGACGACAAGGTTTTTGCCAGCTTCTATCCAAACATCAGAGTTCTGAAGACCTTCCAGCGTTCGACTCTGATTTCATAAATCGAAAGTTAAACAGGAATGGGGAGGATGGCCATCCCTGACGGACACCACTTTATGTACGGAAGCTTTTGGAGAGCTGGCCGTATACTCTCACATGTCCGGAAGCTTAAAAGTACAAAGAACTTATTGTGTTCACGAACTTCCGGGGCATTCCTTGATGGGTAAGTGCGTTAAGGAGAGCAGACCGATCAACCGAGTTGATGCTCCTTGGAAATTCTGGAATACTAAAATCATGAATCCTTTGAACCTATGGCGTTGTTCTAGCGCATGATGGAGTGTGAAGATTTGGTCAACGCAGACCATATGGTTACCACACTTACTACAAGACCCTTGTTGAAAACGAGCGCTATCACTGATTCTTCCTATTTATCTGGGACACTTCCCTTTTCCAAACTGCAGACAACCAGATCAGACAAGTGCTGACTGGGAACTTCACCTCTACCTTTGAGCAACGAGGGCTGGACGTCATCTACACTATAACCTCGATGGCACTTTAGAGATAATATAAAGTCATAAACCTCTGAAGCCGTATGTTGTTCCAGGTTCATCATCCAGGGTTCTCTTCAACTAAGGGATACAGATGAGTGGCAGTTCTTGGCCAGGATAAGCGTTGGTTGAAGTATTCGGTCCAACAGTCGAGGGGTTTTTCTTTATTCAGAATGTTTGCCCCGTTCTGATTATTGATAGTTTCACTCACAGATGGTTTCCTGGGACCGGTTACATGGATCAACTGAAATTCCCGAGAGTTCCCGGCTTTCTGTGCTCTTTCCATTTCCCTAGCTTTCCGTGTCCACCAGACTTCACGGTTCGTGCGCTCACTCACTTTCACTTGACGTCCGATGATTCGTCGGGCCAAATTATGTTCAGGACAGATGGATACATTTATTCGAGATTCAAGTAGTGCCACTGTTTGATGTAATATCCTGTACTTGAGTGGGCTTGGTATCGTCGTGCCACAGACAAAACTCCAAGTATTGGGCAAAGTTGTAGTAATCTCCTTCCAGCATGAGTTTACATCCGAAGGTGGAACAGTTCGAACAGTCTCCAGAAGACGATTCAGGTACATTCGTCTAAAATCCCGATCTGCCACTCTCCATTTCTGAGAGATGTCTGCAGCCTAAGCGGACCCCGAAAACGAAGGAAGAAGCGACCACGGACGAGCGCGTGGTCAGAATCCACGTGTGTTTTATCAGGAGCGGTGGTCAGCTTTTGATCCGCGCCATCGGTAATTGATGGCGGTGCGATCAGTTTGGTTTCTCAGTTGGGACGCTGTTGAAGCTGAAGCAATCGTTAACCGTTGTCCGTACGTGTCGACTCCGATCCATTCCGACCACCTAAATGAGTCTCAGATACGCTAAGTGTGCCCACTTGTGCATTCGGATCCTCAGCAACCACAACTATATCTGAGCTTCAAGCTCGCCAAAAGAGGACAATCAAGGCGTCATAAAACTTGTCTTTGAGTATGTCACAGCTACAGTCAGTTGGGAATTAAGCAGACATGATAAAAAGACGGCGATCAACTTCCCGCTTATGAGGCTCATTCACGGACGTTACCGGACTAACCGCAGAGAGGCAACGATAAACGGGTATCCAGTCAAGCAAGGATACTTTAACCCGGTGAATTAGGACGACATCAACCCTTGCACATCCCAAACCAGTAGCCTCTGGATCGCTAGAGGTTCGTAGCCAGACGCGAGTTGAGAGTGATGGGGCAGTTAGCTCAATCAATGTGCTTGCGTATTGCATTCACTTTGCTGATACAGAGCACACGTCAATGTCATGCGAGTCGAATGTGAGAGCACGAGCAGCCTATTTTCCTGATTGCTTCAGAGTGCGAACATTGATGGCATCCAGATGGACGTCGAGGCTTGAAGATTGATATCGACCTGCTTGAGGATGTAAGCGCCGCATAACGCGCAGATGTTACTGCCATAACCGATGCAGGGGGAACGGAGTCATCAGCCCCAACTGATGGGTCTACGCGGAATTATTGATGGAACGGGTGAAGAAAAATTATGTGAAAGTGTTCGGAGGCCAGCCATCCCTAATAACCGAACATCACATTATTTGTACGGATGTGTCACGTGCACGACACGGACCAAACGAAGGCATGCCTTAATTGGTCAAAATGCCAGCCAATCCGGATCGAGCATCTCTGACTCGACGCCTCTCGCCTCCTCACGGAGATTCTGGCAAGACCTTGTGGAACACTGTGACTACCCTATAAATACGATTGTAATAACTTTCCTTTGTCTCCATAAAGGGCTGCATAGAGCTACCGTGCCTTTTTGATTACCATAGTGGGCGGAGCAGGAAGCCAAGGGACCGATACCGAGCTGCACTACCGCTCAGCAAGACAAAACAGAAAGAGAAGGGAGACTTCAGTACCAGGCTGTTTTCAATTACTTGCCCTAGTGTATGCAAAGAGTAAGGCGGCCGGAGTGACGGCACCACACGACGGCCGGTGTGGTTAGAGAGTATTGTTAATTGTACGAAGGCCGGAATACTGGCAGGGTGCCAAGACCTAGACGGGACGACAATGTGTTCAACCAAAGCCTTTGGCTCAAAAGGTTAACGACAATGCAACAGCGTTTGGCTGGGGATTCGGAAGACGTCGCCAAATATATTCTGACCCTCAACCTGAAGGGCCATGGGAATGTTGGTAGACCTCCAACCGCTGACCAAACATCGTTCTTTTTATAAGAAGTTAATAGTGCAGCTTTCGACCATGGCCGACAAACTGCATTCCCATTGGGAGCATTACACTCTGGGTACATCCTATCCCTTACAATGGTAATAATTCTAGAACGAGACATTTCTCCCTAACCTTGAAAACAAACAATGTAAGGTAAAGTCTCGACGTTGAGCTCAAAATGCAGATCTGACAGTGCGTACGCAGTATGCGATCAACGACCCCGGCATAGACGATAGTTTACCGCTGGAGTTCGCACCAAATTATAGGTGAGTAATATCCCTACACAAATCCAAGACGATCAGCTAGGAAAACTACTTCCCAACAACCAGGAGACAGTGAAACGGTCCACTTTCTTCCGTTCGTAAGTGATCAAATAGCAAACGACTTTGATTGTCATACCATCAGATTCTACCACAAGCGTCTGCATGCATAAGGATCTACTTCGGATATGAAGTAAACTTACGCGGTTGAATGAGGACACGTCCCAAATGGTAACATCACCAGTTAGCGTGCAAGTGGCGATGAAATCCTTTGAAGCTGTGCTACTCAGAACGGATATCTGTAAAAAATAGCAAAGTGCGGGAGTGATGTATCTTGGGACCACGGATAAGCAACACAGAAGCTGCTTTTTTTGACGACAGAAATGTGCGATGCGATCGATGTTCAAAGCAATGCATATGTACTACCCCTGTGGCGAAAAATATCCTTAGTAAGGGTCTACGCGTCGTGATGACACATTCGATTGTTTTTCTACAGCACACGGGACAAAAAAAAGATAAGAAAGAGAGTTGTTCATCTGTAACACCTTTTCGCTGCCTAGCTGCCATGCACGAGGGTTGGGATTCTGCCAGGTTGCTCAAGCATAGACAGGGGAAGTCGAGATGCAGAGGTTGGGGTTAGAACAACTTACTGTATATGGATCCAGTTACAAATTAGGAGTAAGATTCCCCGTGGATGCAAAATAACCGATACTTAAAGAGCTCGAAAGATTAATACGGTCTCGCGTTTATAACAGTAACCGTAGAACATTCAGTTGCAAAATCGTGGTAATACAGATGTCACATGTGTTCAGTTTCATGTTTTGTCCATCATTCACGGCACATCAACTTGACCTATGTGCACTACTGAGTAGAAACTAGTGGCCGAATCGTAGCGCGTTCAAAATCATAGCGGGATCAAACTTCTCTAGAATTCGAAAGTGCAGAGGGGTGGTGATTCCAAACAGGTCCTGCGGACAAATCGTAGAATTCTGACTGAATGCCTGCGAAGTAGAAATCCCATTAAAGACGCATTTATTTGGGAGGTGTATCTGCTTTCTTCCTTTCATAAAAATTCCAGTGTAAATCGAAATAAATCGCTCAGATGTGTCAAGCTGCCATGCTACCTGAAGGGAGCAGGAGGGCTGAGATATTGTCAGGATGTTCAAACCTGGACGGGGGTAATCGAGATAAAGAAGCCGAAATGGAACCATGGACCTTCCGGTCAGTAATTTCGCACCATAACCACCGAATTATCTCGAGCTCGATTCCAGTGTAAGTCTACGGGGACGTAGACTTTTATGTGGCAGGATCCCCCAAGTGTCGACACAAGAAAACTCAAGCGATGTATCAAATACAAACTATGTACGCATTCAACAGTTATGTGAGGGCTACGCAGTGAAAGCCTACAGAGTACATAAATAACCAGTGTGACTAGTACCACGGGGAAATTACGCGACAGACTCACCGGAGAAGTTGAGATCGTTTGTTTGCGTGCCGGTTCGCTGGATCGGGCTTCTAAATAAAAGCAGAAAGAACGGGCCGGATGAAGAATAACAAATGAAAAGACATCAGCTGCGGTGAGGATGTGACTGTGAGTTCCAGTATTGCACACACACAGGTTTGTGTAGTTAAACTTCCTAAGCAAACTGTCGTTGTTACCAAGGCAAAAACCATGAACGTTTCGTTAACTTAGGCGCTGAGCACAGGAGATGGGTTTTATGCAATGGATATAAGCGTTTTTGATTAAATATTTGAACACGAAAAAGCTATATCATAAAAGGTTCATCCCCGTCGGTCGCATTTCCGGTCATATTTATGAACTCGTCGAAGAGTCCTGTGTCGTTTCATAGACCTCACTCTGACGTGTCGTATTATCACAGCCAACCCATCTTTAACATACAAAAACAGGTGTGCAAAAGTAAAAATAAGCTCACCGAGACCAAGACAGTGAAAGTTTTGTCTAAATCAACCACGAAGCCCTTTAGGAACTCATTTTAGCTTCTATATGAAGGAACTGCAAAAACAGCTGCGGAATTCAGTACAAATGTTTGATATGCCCCAACCACTATCAACGGTGAACCAAGGCAGCTAGGTCTAATTGCTGGTCCTTGAAGAACAGAAGGCGAGTAAAGCAACTGCTATCAGGAAGGGGCCTTAGAAACCCGCCTCGAGTTTCAACAATTCAGGGTAGCGTGGTGGGTGAGTAGCTTTCACACAGCGTTTTACTTGATAGGTCGCGAATCATCAAATCAAAGTGCTCCGGAGATACGTTTGTGCGTTCAAAGGGTTAAAAGTAGACAACTGAAGAGTATTCTTAATGGCAGATATTCGGATGGTGTATAAATATGCCATTCCACCATTCCACTTCAACATCATGGATCAGAGACTGTTCAGACTCAACAGTGAAGCAGAGTCTATTGCATCCTCTACAGTAGTATCTACACAGATCGGTTTTCACGCTGTAGCTCACACAAACAGCCATCTATGGGCTATGTAATAACGTTCAGGTTTTTATTAGTCTTACGAGTTTTGTCGCTGGTGTTCGCAATGAGTCACCCAACCTATGGCACTCTGGTAACGAATCAATGTACACACAGACTGTAGACAAATATCTTTACGGAGTTCGCTAACTTCCTATTAGAAACTGCTTGAAAAGAGCTCAGACTGATACATACACATGATTACTTTCCAACTGTCAATCGAAAATGAATTTTTGTCTTCACCATCACTTTTCTCTGTCTAACAAGAAGAAATTACCTACATGGAGTACTGTGAAGCGAAGATGACAAAGGAAAATAGTCAAAACTAGGCAAATAACTGCATACCCTCAGTAGTCACATTTCTGGTGGGTTTTGATTGAATGAAAGGGCAGCTGCCAGCATGCCTGCTGTGCTCACTCCAAGGTTCATCAGTGGGCTCCCAGTGAGTCAGACACACGTAGCATACAAAACACAAGACCTGATCACCACATCTCCGCGTCAAGTGATAGAAACCCGCTTGCGCCATAGCTTCTGGAGTAGTCCAACTACAAGAAGAGAAACAGTAAAAAAAGAGATAAGCGGTTAAATCAGAAACCATCGTGATGAGGGATAACTCGAATCCTATTGCTGCTTATATTCAGGACCACTACGTAAGCAGTAATTATCTGGACTGACGAATAACTACCGGTATTGTCACTAAGATGTGTTGAGTAGGCCTTGCAGTTTTTAAGATATCTACCACATAAGTAGTGTAGTAACCGAAACGCACTAGTTGATGAAGATTAGAAGTCAGTTGGTTAGAAGAATGTTGAATGCATAAGTGATGTGCGACTAAGTTTATACTTGTTTACGGTATTAACACAAATCAAGAGGTGCCTCACGTGCAGATCGTACGACCACCAAACAGTATAGCATTAAGAGAAGTTATTATTGAGGGATTGGACAACCTGCACAAAAAATGCATACACAATGCGAGGAAAGAAATGACAAGAGCGTAACATAGTGTATATTCCACAAGTTCATAAAAACGACCTACAGCTTTGACACAACCTCGCACGTGGCATGAACCTCAAGGCAATGGGCTAATACATGTCTATGAAGCACCAGAGTGAGAGCATATGAGCTGGACGTCTAAGTTCAGTGTGGATCACGTCCCACAGACTGACTGCTTACCATCAACTTATTTTGGCTGAGATGGAGCTGAAATGGCTGACTGGGGAGAGATGGTTCAGGACCGGAGGGTTCATGGTTCGAACCCGACCTCTGTCTCTAGACTTCACCTGTCTAGGCGTGGGCAGTATCCCAGCCCTCGTGCTTCCTTTTGGTGGCGTTGCAGTTTGCGATTTTGGCTGACTATATAAGAATATTATTTTGATCATAGCCGTGATCCGACGGAGGGTACTTTTGGTTGTAGTCAAGTTCGGGCTCCAGAAAACTGACTATCATATGCTTAGTTGACAAAACGGAAAAATGAGATCAGACACACTCGATAGCTCAAAAGTAAACAGAACATTATAATTTGGCGCCTGGAGAATACAAAAGGTGTGGCGACGAGATGATGACACGTCATACTTCGGTACCAAAGTTGGAAAACATACATACCGATAATTGGTATGGGGCCAGTTACAAAACGTCAGACGTCGATAGTTTTCCACATCCATATGACGCGATGATGAAAAGTAGATACTTGCGATCAATAGCTCGTCAGAAATGAGTAATCTGACCAGACGGTTATCCGTGGACGACATCAAATTGGACACGGGGAGGTGGTCTTCTGATGTGGCGTGAAGTAGAATCCAATGGACCCATTGGGTAAGAGTTGAGTGCGGGCCAGTGATTGTCAGCGTCTTCCACTAATTGATAAATATTAGAATACAATGCGCAGCAGGCATACCTTCGCATCTCTAACTGCCCCTGTATTATTGTACGTTATAGTTACTCCGTTTTCTTTCAAAACCGAAACTTGCCCCAGGTCTGACATTAAAATGGTATCGAGTAGGGTCGCTTGTTCAGCATTGAACTCTAGAGTCACTATGTCCTTTGTGTTCTGAACCGGTTCACAAAGTATATCGTCCAACAGCAGGATGTCCGTATAATGAGATCTTGCGTTGAACAGGTGGCCACGCGTAATAACCAAAGATTCCCTTGTGGCGAAATATGTCAAACATGTTTCATAATCTAATATAGATTTTGAATTCGAATAATTTTAGCTTACCTGGTTGTAAAATGGTCTTATCGATACTCCTAATTAGTCGTCCACTTGAACCATCGAATAAATATAATGAGCCAGCAGATGAAGCGCCCACAACCGCATTAAGTGGTGGAAAATAGCACAACTTCGACAGTGGTACGTGACTCGGTATGAACCCCTGAGCAACCACCTCCATTGCTGAAATAATATTCAGTATGATCAATTGGTCTAACGGTAAGAAAATCAGCAAGAAATAACCACAAGCGCACAAAGGACCAGATAACAGGAATGATCTGTTACAAAGCGAGATGGGTGGCCTCTTGGGTTATCTTATCGACTAACCGAAGCAGCCTCCATTCAGTTCAAACTACCCTAGCCTCTCGTCTTTCGAGCTTTCCGAATCCACTATACATCTTTGTCCCAACAGGGGATTCGTTTGAGCTGGCAATTAAGAGATGTTTACCAGATCTTAAAGTAACAAAGTCATGTATTAGTTGTGCAAAAACGTCCCAAGACTCTATCACTGTTGACCGGCCAGTTAGACTCGAACGTCAACCAGTCAAACAACCCAACCAAAAGCTGTCAACCTGTCGCCGTCGTTGAAGTTCAGTTTTGCAGTGCACTTGTGAAATGCACTGGCTGGGAGTATACTTTTCAAGATTTAGCTATGTCGTGAAGGTCGATGGAGGGCAACCTAACAGAGAGATGTGAGATGTACCACGAGACATTGTAATGTGCAGAAAAATCAGGACCGTACGGTGCTTTCTTCAGTTTACGAGTACCTTAGTATACACAGGAACAACGAATCTGTTTTCCCCGGAAAAGAACGGATTATAAAAGGTCAACTCAATAATCCGAATGCTTCAATTGCCAGGAGGTTCAACACAAACGCCGATGAATTATCTTATGTAGTCGAAACACTTATAACAACCAAGAATGAGGTGCGACACAAAACTCATATGATGTGTGTAGCAGTATCATGGATTAGACAACCGTACCTTATTAACTGCGTCCTCAGACTAGATCGGCTCTCCTACAGCCAAGCGGGCTGGAGTATTGAACAGACCACTTTAAACTATGGCCCGGACCACTCCGGAGAAGGATGAAAACAAGGGCATTCGGATTTGAAGATTGCTCAAGCAAGTGTTATTGAACGAAAAAGTGTCGGATATGGCTAGATACAAGAGACGTTAGAATTCTTTCAAACTGAACGGAAGCTAACCACTCGAAATGTATGTGGTCTTTGTCACCAACCCCTCAGTTCGACTCAGATGCCACCAAAGACCGACTAGCTGGTCAGAAAAACCTGCATATAGTTGGCTATACGTACCACTTATCTGGAACTCCACAGGAATAGAAATTGCGTTTGGCGGTTGTATGCGACTGGAAGAATATCGGACCAATCGAACCACGTCGAAGCGAAGAAAATGAATAAGAAATGCAGACTGTCGGGAATAGCTTGTCATATCTTTGAGACGTACACTTTCCTCCGTCTTAATTAATAGGGACAGCGACGTACCACTAGCTAATTCTGGCGCTAAACTGTCGTATAAGAGAATAGTAACAGTGAAAGGTTAATTCAAGTGAGGATCTATTACAACTAAATCCTGTAACCCTGAGGAAAACGTTCAAGAGAATGACATTTGCATCTTTTTCAGAAATAACACATCTGCAAAATCGCTTTGAGTTAAAGTACTGTCGGCGGTACATAGCCGCATACTATTTCACTGAAACCTGACTTCCTTTGGGGGGACGAGATGGACCAAGTGATTAGAGCGCGAATTTACTGACCGGAATGTCCGTGGTTCGAACCCTACCTCTGCCTCTGCCTCTCGGCCTCCCCTGTCTAGGCTTGAGAAACCTGACGGTATCCAAGTCCTCGTGCTTCCTTCGTGTGGCATGGCATCTAGGCACCGAAAAGGTGCTACAGCTGAACGATTTCTTTATCTCGATTTGATGGGTCGATCAAAGCATTTGAAACAGAGCACCGCTATCGCCGGCAGCGAAAGTCTTCTCCATCTCTTCAACCTTCGAAATCCACCAGCGTTCTCTGTCATTCTCCAAGCCTTTGATTATCTGGTATTGATGGATCTGTGTGTACCATCACTGTCCCTAGTTGCCGGTGTGGCCTTTCTGGTAGCAGTAAGATCTGATCTGGACGAAATCCAGTGTTCATCTAGTCAAGCACACAGCTTGGACAACTAGTTCTGACGGCTGAGAGCATTACTTCTTAAACCCGGTTACATTCAACCACCAAGTAATCGTCGTCCACATGACTGCGTTTTCAGTAGCCTTCTATTTAAGTCAGCTCGATACTCCTGAACTATTGAAACTTATTGGTTGGTTAATAGAAGCACTCTACTTTGGTGTACAGCTGACAGAAAGCGAAGTGATGAGCGAGCTCGCATAATGGCATGATGAGAGTCAACTAGAGTACTCAGAAGGAACGACAATATTTAATTGAGGCCCTCCATCGGCGAACGATAGTCACATGGTCTAGTTGAGTCCATGACTTTCTCGCGGCTGGTGGCCTCCAAGTAACCCGATGTGGGTGTTTGTGTTGGAAGTTTGTACTGGCCAGAACAAGCAACTGAGGCAGCCGCTCCCCATTATCCGTTCGCTCAGCAGCGACTCAGAATCTACCACCTAAACGTGTTTCTTCTGGGCGTATTCATCCAACTTTGGTATTCATATCACCTGCCAGGATTACTATATCCATCCCTGCTGCCGATTGAAGCAGTCGTGACAGATCTTTGTGAAAACCCGTCCTTCTCAGTCTTAGAACTGCAGTCTGTCGGGGCGTATGCGTATGCTTACCGCATCGACCTGCGTTGATTTGAAGTTAGCCAGACAGCCACACAGCGTAAAGGCGACTGATTGCTGAGACCCGGTCCAGTGAGGGGTTTTCAGCCTTGGGGCTGAGTGCGAATTCCACACCGTAGATACGACAAAAGATGTCTTCAGGATCATCAGACACCCGAAGAGTGAAACGAAGCGCTTAGAGGGTCACAAAAATTTGAGTGCATCAGAGCTTTAGTTCGTTGGGGAGTAAGCATATATACGATTAATAGACAGTGATTATTGGAGCGTTCAAGGAATGCTTTCACTGACGTTGCCAGGTGAACCGCACAGATGCGACTATCAACGGACGACCATTCAAGCAGGGACCCTTCAGCTCGGTGGCTTGGAACAATACCAATCGCACAAGAACCAGTAGCAATGACTTCCAGATCGCCAGAGGTGCATAACCAGAAGTGAGCGGAGGTTAGTTCAACAAGCATACTGGGGTGTTAAACCCCCTCCCAGACAGTACATACCAATATAAGGCGAGTCCAGTGTATATGCAAGAAAAGTCTATTTTTGGGCGAGATGGCTGTGGTTAGAGCGCGAATTTACTGGGCGGGACGTCCATGGTTCGAGCACAGCCTCGGCATCTTGCCTTCCCCTGTCTAAGCTTAGGGCAACCTGACAGTACCCCGGCCCTCGTGCCTCCTCTCTGGCATGGCAGCTAGGCACCTGAAGGATCTTACAGCTGAATGACGACCATCTAGTATGTTGCCCAATTCGTTTCAAAGTGCGAATGTTAATGACTACCTGACATACTGAGCGACGGGTTTTGAAGGATGATTCGGAAGTGTTTGTGTTGGTAGCGTCCAAATAAACTGCAAATACTTCGGCTAGCGGAAATGGGCGATCAACAGTTCTATCAGTCCTTACGAATGGGCCTAGGGAGACACTGCAAGATCAAGTTTGGGATTCGTGGTTGTATGCGGACTGGGATATTGCTAGGGTGTCCAGATCTACACAGGATGACGATTTGGGTCCACCACTGCTTTGCAGCAACTACATTCATTTACAGAGAGCTGGCATTTGGACTCCACAGTTTCAACTTGTGCGCAAAAAGTAAACATGGACTTAAAAGAACGCCTGGGAGGTCGTTGACGTAGATCAAAAATAGCAGTGGTGCAAAACAGAGCTTTGGGAAACTCTGAGAGACCAGCACCGGATAAGAGTAGGCCGGAATGTTCTGATTGATAAGAACGCCTTAAGCTAGCGCAGTTGCTTTCCAGTGAATCCCATAAAACTCGAGTTTTTCGAGCAGCGGAACGTGCGGGACTCGGTCGAATGCCTTTGAGAAGTCGAAAAATATGACATCCGTTAAGAGTCCTTCGTCCTCAGCTTAGGTTAAGCTGTCCATAAATACGAGCGTGGTCGTTACGTGGGGATGATTTATGAAGAATCCATGTTGAACCGGCGACATTAAATTGTTGGTAGTAAGGTGATATAGGGGGCCCGCTTTAGAATGCGTTCCATCACCTTGCACGATACGCAAGTAGGGTTATTGGGCCTGTAGCCGCCGGGCGAAAGTTGGTAAGCAGTTTGGCAAATAAGCGTGAAAATCGCTTCCTTTCAAGCGGAGGGAAGGTTGTCTTTGTCAAACGACTGACGAGAACATCCTGGTAGAAACTTTTCCAGTGTGAATGACGTATCAATGCCCAAAGCGAAATCCTCCGCTCAAGCGAGGTTCTCTGGTTCACCACTTGAATATGGAATCTACTTGGTGGCCCTACTCCGCTAACCATTTAGGGCAATGCTACGGAATGTCCTTTCTGCCCCCTGCTGGGAGCTGCAACGGTCGAAAGCTAAAGCCCAGTGTGATTGGTTGAAGGGCCGGGCCACAGGCCAATCGTTCACCAATTGGAGCCCTGATTGGTCAGTAATACTGACTAAACAGGTAACCGCGTCCCGATGTTTGCTATTGGTCCGTTGGCAGCGGTGCACCCCGAATTTCCTGAATTTTGTCGTTGCATACATTTCAAACGCGGCTGACTGTATATGGGTGCTTAACAAATCCTTTTAACCCATTGTGATTCCGCTCTAGGAGCTAGGTTTAAGTATACTTACCTAAAAGTCTGCTGAAACCTAACCGTTATTCCATGATCTGACAAAAATTTCGCCACCAACAATAAGTCCGTAACACCATATCTGGTGGAAATGATTGCACGCTGCTCCACTTCTTGCAGAGTGCAGGTTACAATATGCTACTCGCTTCCGGACTGCCGAGATGAGGCTGACGTTACTGGTAAGGTCCCGCATGCCATCCCTTTGTAGGAAGGCCTTCCACGGATTCACGGATTGATTCACAGGATCGAGGCTTTTGCCCAAGTTTCCCGGGTCGGTTTTGTTCTTATCGGTCA